TTATAAAATGCTGTTTGTAGTCTTTGAATAATTTAAAGATTTTGAAAGTTGTAATTAATTCTGTTACTGTAAAGTGATTTTGCTTGGTCTGAGGGCGAATTTAACCTTTAAATTAGATGTTTATCTGTGCATAGGAGATTTTCGTATTCCTGTTTTTTATGATGTGCCATCGTATACAATAACCAGATCAGGTTCCTCTTCATCCAGTTTTAGATTCACCTTTAAAGGCTTTTTTTGTGATAAACTTAATTCTAGTTTTTTAATAAACTTTATATCTAATCTGACAATCCCCCCATCTTCATATTCATAGAAATGCACCAGTTATTAGAGGAATTTAATAACAGGAACATGTTAGATGAAATTTCAGGACTTTCAAATAACGCTATAAGGGCGGTAGTACATAACACCCTAAAACCATTATTATATAATATTCATTGCGATGTATAAACAATTAATTTTTTTTATAACCAATAGCCTTTAGCGAATTAATCAATTGTGTGTTACTGTGTTTTAAAAGAACCCTTTTACAAAAACAAAACGAAAATGTGAAAGTGGTGCAAGTAAGAGACAGCGAAAGCAATAGAGTGAAGCAGCAATTACAAGTATAAAGCCAATAACATCATTTCTCATAAAAAAGATGCCTCAGCCATTAGATGGTGACCATACTGACAGTGACACTTCCAGTTCTGGTGATGAAAACTTTGTATCCACAAATGACATTTAAATGCCACTGCCTCAAAATGAGGTCATTAGTCAAGAGACAGAAATGCCAATAGCAATAGATGCAGAATCTATGCTTAATTTAGAGACTGTGCAGACAGAAAATAAGGACCTCGGAGATGCTGCACAACAACAAGAGCAAGAACTTATGACTGACACAGTGCAACAACAGTGGCATCAGAACCTGATATTGGACTTCTTGATAAAAACAAAGTTGCTCAAAAGCAGTCATTTCCCAAAGTTAGTTGTTTTCAGATTCCAAGTAATATACTGAAAGATGCTGAAAATCATGCTTTTTCCACCCATCTGCTGACAAAAACCCTTCCAAATGGAGAGATAGACACAAGACACTGGCTCTGATGGAGCATGGAAAAGCAGGCTCTGTACTGTGTATCCTGTTTCATTTTCAACAGTAATACCTCAAATGCATCAGTACTGTCTGATCCACCTGGTTGGAGCATCAGTAAACGTTGAAGGAAGTTGAAAGACCAAATTCCTGCATGTGAAACTTCAGAATCGCATAAAGATAATGATGTTACATGGAAATCAGCTTGTAGCACAGCACTAGCTGACAGTTCAATTGAAAACTTACCCGAGTGAAATAAACACAGAAACTGATAACTGGGGGGAAAAAAGTCATTGAGCAGATATTGAATGTAATTATTTTTCCTTTCTGAATGGGGATTGGCCAGTGACCCTACAAAAGGAAGCTTTCTTGGTACCCACTTGAGCTAAGTCCATTATCTGTCTACCAGAATATAAAATGAGTTTATTGAACTGTGTTGGACTATTGTGCAAACAATTCTTGAAGAGATATGAAATGCAAAGTACTTCTCAATTATTATTGATGCAACTCCAGACTGTTCTCATAAAGAACAAACTACCTTCGTTGTTCAGTATGTTAGAATTGCAGGAAGTGCAAAGGTTTCAATTGAAGAATGATTCATTTTGTTCAACAAAATCAAGAAACAAACCGGAAAAGAAATTGCCACTCGTGTATCAGAAACTCTGGAAGGCTTTAAATTAAAAATTCAAGTCTGTATTGGCCAAGCCTATAAAAATGGATCCAATATGGCTGGGAAGTACAACAGAGTACAAGCAGTCCTTTTAGAGCAAAATTCAAATGGTGTTTTCTTCAATTGTGGAAACCATACACTAAATCTGGTCATAAAATCATAGAATACTAGGACTGGAAGGGTCCTCGAGAGATCATCAAGTCCAGTCCCCTGCCCTCATGGCAGGACCAAATACTGTCTAGACCATCCCTGATAGACATTTATCTAACCTACTCTTAAATATCTCCAGAGATGGAGATTCCACAACCTCCCTGGGCAATTTATCCCAGTGTTTGACTACCCTGATGGTTAGGAACTTTAGGAATGTCCAACCTAAACCTCCCTTGCTGCAGTTTAAGCCCATTGCTTCTTGTTCTATCCCCAGAGGCCAAGACGAACGAGTTTTCTCCCTCCTCCTTATGACACCCATTTAGATATCTGAAAACTGCTATCATGTCCCCCCTCAATCTTCTCTTTTCTAAACTAAACAAACCTAATTCCTTCAGCCTTCCCTCATAGGTCATGTTCTCTAGACCTTTAATCATTCTCGTTGCTCTTCTCTGGACCTTCTCCA